CTTTCAGATTTTCCATGCAATCCCCTTTTACAGCTGAAAGTAATGCATAGCTTTATACTCATGTTAAGTATTCTTCCTTGCTCATGACCCAGAAAAGTGTGTGTGTGTGTGTGTGTGTGTGTGTGTGTGTGTGTGTGTGTGTGTGTGTTATAGTAATCATTATTTGCAGAAAGCAGCCAGCAAGGCTGGAAGCAACTCTATAAAATAAATATCTACTACCATCAGTGCTGAAGCATTGTCTGGTTTCAGTCACATTTGCTAATTCTAGGTCAACTGGATTCAGTAAATTTTCTTCCCTTGTAAAAACTGTTAGACATCTGTGTAAAGAACCTCTTGCCAGTGCAGTGTTTCTTGTGCCGTTCAATATATACGAAGCAAAGTTCTCTACTAGGGACAGACACAAAGATGCATAGGGACAGTCAGAGATCAGAAAGTATTCAGGCAGGCACATACACATGCTAGTGACAGACTACGAATAGGGCAGTGACCATAGACTACAGACAGACAGAAGAAATGGGGAGAGGAGTGGAGGATTTAAAATTTAAATCTACTATAAGATCATTTATCCTAGAAAAGGCAAGGAAACTTCTCCCATGACAGTGCAACGATATGGCTGACTAAACAAGACCTGAATAAATGCAGCGCCAATAGGCATGCTAACATGGAAGAGAGAAATCTCGAATGGTCCATCTACAGACAAAGAACTATAGGTGACTAAGAATACTGAGCACTGAAGAAGTCATTCTCCCCAGGGATGAATCTCCTAATTGGCTAGCCAACACCAAGTAGTTAGCCCTGAAATCTTGTGCACATAAGTAACACTAAAGAGATCAAGAAGGGGGTATTCATGTTGTTAGGCATCTATATTTATTTATTTGTATGCATGTATATGGAAGACAACTAAAGTGAAAGAAGCCACGATTTGGGGAGGGAGCAGAGAGGTGTGCATTCATGGGAAGGGTTAGAGGAAGGAAAGAGAAATGATGTAATTAAATTTCAATTTTTAAAAATCAAAAGATAAAATTTTAGAAAATGTCATAACCACTCAAAATGCACCATTTTCAAGTATTTTATTATCTGTTATTATTATCTGTGTTCTTGGAATTATTTGCCTTGATTATTTCTGTGTGTTTAGTAATATTACACCGTAGCTTGAAACGGTCTGTGGTGGGAAAATTTAATGCCACAGAAATTAGAAAAGTTTAAACACTAGAGGGTTCCTTTCTTCATGAAGAGAGACTATGGTTAAAATATTTAGTAGTAGCACACCAGTACATAGTAAGTTGATTCTGGACATAAACACATACATACAAACACATGTATGCTTCATATATCAGACAAACACAAATATTAACATCTCAACATAATCAAATACATTTGAAGTTTTTGTCCTTATCAATATTCTCATAAATTTTAGTAAAATGCCTATATGTTGCATATGATTCCCACTGGAATTAGGGCAGATGGTTTATATGGGGCATGAAAAGCAAGGCACAAACAACTCGTTGGGCCTCCTTCCATATGAACAGATAATAGGGAAACAGAACTAACAATAGGAACCATGTAGAACTGACAACAAAAGGCTCTTTGAAGGGCTGGGAGAGAAACGCTGAGCCAGCACGCGTCCCAAAGAGCACATTTCTGTACTCTAAATCACCCACTGTGGAAAGTGTAAACATGCTCCAACAGTGGAGTATACTTACAGGCCTCTTCCCTAAGCAAGAAAAATGGCATTTTAAATTGCAGTGCTGAGCAACTAAGTTCTGTATCAGAGGGCAAGGCTCCAAACTTCCAGAAAACCTGTGACCCAAAGAGTTTGGGGTTAATGTTGTAAGGAAATTTCCTTCAGGAATATCCTGAACAGACAAATAATGTTCTAAATGTATGTTATGAGATTGTTTAATGCTTTTTTTAAACTAACAGCAATACATAACAATAACTACATTGCTTCTGCTGTATTGCAATCCCCCCATAACCTCTGTGAGCAACTTTGGAGATGCAAAGTACATTAATATAACATTTTAAAATGTCACTCATGTCGTGATTGTAGTTATAAACATCAAAATAAATATGAAGTACAAGCAATTCAATTAAATGTTCTCAGCACTAGGGAAATACGTAAATTATCCTCCAAGGCACTCAAAATATAGATGCTCATGGTTATAGTGTCACTAGGAAATGTCACTAGGAAGGCACAATTTCAGCTAACCTGGGAAACCTGCAAACATGATCACATTTTTAACAACTCAGTGTCACCATCCCAGTACCACCTAAGCTCAGTCCCCAGGAGAGCCCCAGGAAGGAGAAGTTGAGTCTGTTCCCAAAGGACAATTTGTGAAAGTGACCCTAACAACATCCAGGACAGATGAGCACACACACACACACACACACACACACACACACACACACACACTCAAGGCACCGTGAACCCTGTTTTATAATTTCTCTTGCTTCTTTTGCTACCACTGGCAGGTATCACTATTGAAAATGGACCTTACATTTAACTGCTGAATCATCTGTGCTGAGTCAGCTTTTACAGGCCACAGAAACACAACAGACTTACCTTCCCAAAGGCATCATCTCTTCTAATTGGCAAACACAGGTCCACAATGCCAAGACACCATGACCAAGAAATGTCCATCCCACACTTAAGCTCTGCCATAAACAAGTGACCCTCACAAATAGGGACAATAATAAGGAATCTACATCACACAACCTATCCACCTTCCTTTGTGATGAACCCCACCCCTTTTGGTCCTTTATATGATTTGGGACAGGGGGCCAATCTCATCATGGCCACCTCAATCTATCAGAAAAGTATCACACCATGAAGCCTCAGGAAGAAAGAAAGTAGTATTTCAACCTCTCTCATGAGGTTCTTCCTGGCCTCTCTGCAAACATGTATGGTACTCCAAGTGTGTCAATTAAAAGCAATGATACCTTTGGGAAGGTTAAGTCTATTGTGTTTCTGCAGTCTGTGAAAACTGATTCAGCACAGATGACTCAGCAGTTAAAAGCAAGGTCCACTTTCAATAGTGACACCTGCCTGTGGTAGCAGGTGACCGGCCCTAGATGGAAAGGGTAGCATCCATGTTGCATGTGTAAACCCATCTTGCAGTTGTGTAATGAGATAATTGTTTAAGTTACCATCCAGACTTTTTAAAAATATGTTATGAGGTAATAGTCTATGTGTACTAAGACAAATGGCCACTTGACTTCCTTTAGAATATATTGTCTCACCAGACATCCTGTCTGTTAAGTCATTTAGAAGGAAACTGGGCTATGGTAAATATATGTACATATCTAGTAATAGCACAATGTACAGGTCAGTTGAGTTTGACTGAATGACTAAGGGAGGCCTTCCGGAGTAAAGAATATTTGGTCTGTCTCTGAACATCTCAATTGTGGTAACAGGAAGAGAAAGGGATTTGTAGGACAATTAGCAAAAATAAAAGGATTTGGATTGGTGGGTCATGAACACGGGTGACCGAAACAGAAATGGTTTTTACAGCTAGGAAAGGAATGAAGGGACTGAAAAGAAGGCTAGGAGACCCATCTTGGATTCAGCTGTGAACATGATGAATGAAGTTGGACTCTTCTGAAGACAATGGACAGCCACAGAATTAGTAAGAGCAGCGGGGGCAGTGTGTGCGAACCCATAATTTAGAGACAATTGATACCTGTGCAGAATGTAGACAGACAAGATGGGGTGCCGGAGGCAAGAACTCCACATTGCTGTCACCAGCCACAGCTCAACCCTGAGAGCAGAGGCAACAGCAACCAGAGAATAAAAGTGGATCTAGCTTAGGTTAACAAACATCCTGGAACAGTTGTGCATGGGGAAGAATCAGAAGAGATGCTGAGGTCTGTAGCTACAGGGCCTGATGGAAGGCAGGCCATTAGTGTGGTGGGGTGCACTGGAGGAGCGGAGCTGTAATAGGACAACAGTAAATGGTTTCTCTTGGATGCACTGGGTTTGGAGCACACAGAGAAGCTATTCTAAACTCATTTTTAAAAAGAAAAGAAAATTGTTCTCATCTGTCTGGAGGCTCAAGACTGTAACAACAGCACTGCAAAGAGCTTCTACCAAAGCACTTTGCACATCAGAAATAACAAAAATAGATTGGAACTAGCCATTGCTTTTTTGTTTCTGTGCTTACATAATGAAGAAGACACTGAAAATCAATAAGAAGAAAAGGTTTATCTAATAAATAGGAATTTACAGTTACCTATTGAGTTGGGTGTCTATTTAGAGTGTTGCCTCATGCCATACACAAAATTAGGTTAAATAAAAAGGAAAAAGATGACTGTAGAAAGTTAAGGCCTACAAGGCTGAGAGATGAACCAACCTGGCATCTGCCTGGCGCTGTCAGAGGTCCTGATTGTGCCTAGCCGATGAGGGGCAACAGACCACTCCCAAGTCAAGGGTTCAGGACACCTGGGCGCTGGGAGGTTATATAAGGTTTCCCCCATTGTTAAATAAAGGAGTCTGCTGTTTCCCTTTCACCTGACTTCCGGTGCAGTGCCTTTGATTCTACGCCTTCTCACCCCCTCCCACAAGGGAACCATTAGGATGTAGCTGTTTATGGCAGCATGAAATTTATCCTCCCCTGAATCTTAGCAAGAGAAATACATTACATACCCATGCCAGCAGGAAAATATTTGTGGTTAATGGTTGTCTTAGTTAGGGTTTTACTGCTGTGAAGAAACACCATGACAAAAAGCAAGTTGAAAAGGAAAGGGTTTATTCAGCTTACACTTCCATGTTATAGTGGTGTAGTCCAGCAATGAAGGAGGTCAAGGCAAGAATTCAGATTGGGCAAGAACCTGGAGGCAGGAGCTGATGCAGAGGCCATGGAGGGGTGCTGCTTCCTGGCTTGCTCATCATGGTTTTCTCAGCCTGCTTTCTTGTAGAACCCAGGACTACCAGCCCAGGGATGGTACCACCCACAGTAGGCTGGTCCTCCCACATCAATCACTAATTAAGAAAATGTCATACAACCAGATCTTATAGGGTTTTTTTTTCAGCTGAGGTTCCCTCCTTTCAGATAACTCTAGCTTGTGTCAAGTTGACATAAGACCGGCTGGCACAATAGTTTTGTCCAAGGAAGCATTTCAATTTCTTGTCTTCAACAAACAATACCTAGATTGGAAAGATATTTGAAGACATAGATAGATTATAGATAGAGATGATAGATAGATGACAGATAGACAGACAGATGATAGATGATAGATTATGCTACTATTCATAATCCTGAAAAATAGCAGCAAATAAGCCTGACAGTTCTATTTAAAATGATCCTTAAGCAACTGCTAGGTTGGCCTAAAGTGAGAAGACTACACCCTTTTTTCCTCCTCCTCCTATTGGCTAGAATATGAACAGTGATGGCAGAAGATAGAAGCCCCATGTTGGGGGCATGAGAGATAACTCAATGGTATAAAACTTGCTATACAAGCCTGATTTCAGATCCCCAAAACCCACCTTAATAGCCAGTGTGGAAGCTGGGAAGACTTGGCAGTCTGCTTTTAATCCCAGTGTTTACGGGTCAGAGACATGGGTTCCTTCAAGCATTCTGGATAGGTGGATTAGGCAATGCAGGGAGCTCTAGGTTCAGCAAGAGAGCCTGTTCAATAAATAAAGTGGAAGGTGATCAAGGAAAGACACCTGAAGTTAACTTCTGGTCTCCACATGTGCATATATGTGCAAGTGCACCCCGATACACAGATGTGTCCACAAACATGTGAACATGCATGCATGCCACAAACACATATACCTTCAGATATAATAAGACCCATATTAGCCTGGTCTACAAAGTGAGTTCCAGGACAGCCTCCAAAGCCACAGAGAAACCCTGTCTCGAAAAAAAAAAAAGACCCATATTAATGGAAAAAAGTAGACATAATAGAACCAAGGGACACCTTCCATACTAGCCCTTGAAAAAAAAATCTCACATAGTTTACACTAACTTTGACCACCCCAGCTCAATGTTCTAAAGGATGGTGTTGTATGGGAATATGCAAAATCACCTGCCAAGATCTCTCTCACTGATTGAAATGCCTGGGAAAACTGTGGTAAGAAACATCTAAGAAACTCTAAGAAATATCAACACAGAGACCTCTGTCCTGTCCTTACACCAACTAAGAAAGATGTCTTAGTTTTCTTGAGTTTCAAAATAATATTACAAAAAAATTCTTTGTGCCAATCCAGAAAATAAATTGAGTTCTTAAGAAACATTTAGTCAACTGTTTAAAAAAGAAAAAAACGTATTGGTAATTGCCGATACTGGTAAATATTGTTAACATCAATGAGAAAATCTCCTAGAGCAAACTATTTCAAAAATAGTGACAGAGGTTCCTAATTGTCCCTCATGTTCACATTTCCATATTGTGATGATAACACTAATTTTTAGCTAGGAATACAGTTCCTCACATTGAAATCTACATCCCAGTCCCCTTTCAGCTACATGACACTCAGACATGATTTAAGGGACCCGAGTTGATCACACTCAGGATGTCTCCTTATTAGTTAAGGAGTGCACACTTGTTCATTGATATGGGAACAGATCCCTGCCATTTTTTATCTTTCTGCTGCTTACACTCCAAACCTCTCCCTGTTCTATGTTCCCACAAGACTTAGAAAGCAATTTAGACAGTAGGCAATATGAACGCAATACTGCTGAAGGATAAACACGTCATTAAAGGACTTCGGCACGGGAAGCAGGGTTACACTCAGCCGTGTTCCCGACACCTTCAGAGCAGCCATTGCTTGTCCCTCTGCTCTTTCAGTCTTGATGGTTCCTCAGTCACAGCACTGCTGACTCAGTAAAAAGCCAATGAAATCACTTGCTTTTCGTTGCTCTGCAGCACACTGTAGAGAATTACTGTGGCCTCCTATGTTATAAGAGAACAGATTTTCAATATAGCAAGGTCAAAAAATCACTTATAAGCCTTTATTGTGGCTTAACAAATCTCATAACAGCATTCAGGTTAAAATGAACTGAACATTTCCTCGTTGGACAATGTGGTAAGAAAAGGAAGCTGTCTTTCTGTTCAAGCTCTAAAAAACAATTAATTAATGAAAATCTAATGACTGTTAGTTACTCTCACACTTGCCTGAGTGTGTAATCACACTGAAAACTCTAGACAACAGTAGAATAAACCAAGATGACAATTAGATGAGTCTAAGTCCACTGTCTGACTCATCTGGTGTGGTGAGGGGAGGGGCAGGGCAGGACTGAGAGAAGAGGCCATGAAACAAATAGATCTTGCTTGCTATGTATTCATCAAAATACATCATGTATTTTTACCTCAAAAAATAAACAACAGATTTCCTAGCCTGAGACATTAATAAAAATGATAATATCCACAAAGATAATTTAATTGAAGTAAATGGTAATCACTATCATACATATATACAAGCACACATACATTTGTATAAAAATAAAGAGAATAGAGGGGAAATATTGGGGGTTTTGTTCACAAAATAATGCTAATGAAAAGTATAGTGGTAATTGAGCTAGAAAAACCACCATTTTGTAATTTCTTAAGTTATAATTAGTAATGATAAGAGTCCTACACAGATGCTAAGGCCATAAAAGGAAGAGCTAGCTGTTGAGGCACAGGCTAATTCTACCCAAATGTCATTCCACGAATTACTCTTTCTTTGCAAGGGGAAGAGCTCCCCCTTTTCCACAGGGATCCTTTTGTCACAAAGCTGTTCACTTCTGATGACACAGACAGATAGGTGTCTGGTTCCCAACAGTGGGAAGCACACTACTGAGCAATGGGATGTTCTATAAGGCATTCAGCCCACAGTCCTCAAGTGAAGGGTAGGAAAGCAAATAAGTTCTGTTAGGGGACATTTTAAAAGACACTGTAGGAACATGCTTTGCAGGACGTATGTTGATCATAATTTTGTGTTAATAATTGTGAGACTTTGTATTGAGTAATGTGAGAAATCTCCATATGGACTGTTTTTGTTATGAACTAATGCTAAGAGTATTGGGCACACCAAGGCAATGTGGTTATTTAAGACAAAGATCTCATTTTGTAGATACACGCTGACCTCCTTGAGAGGTGAGTACTTATAATTCCTGCCACCTTGGTTTGTTTAAGAAATGTGTTTGATACATAAGCAAATGCTCTTAGAGAATGAAAACAATGGAATCACATGACAAAATGTTAACCTGCAGTTCAAGAAGAGAACTTGTGTTGGCTTTCATCCTTTGCAGCTTTGAAAATGTTCACAATAAGCTGGGGTTGGACCGTAACTAAGGAAGAAAAGGGGAGGCATGTTGGTCTGGAAGCTCTTCCAGGTCATTCCTTGCAGAAAGTGCCTCCTGAAGGAGTAACACACTGCTATGTGAGCTAATGACTTTGAATTAGAGGCTTTCGGATGAGCAGCAGGTGCAAAGAAGATCACGCTGACAGTACCATGAAGCAAAAGTCAAATGAAATCTCATCGGAAGAGGTTCTCCCTGGATCCCAAGGAAAATGTCATTCCTACCACCAAGGAAGAGAAACTAAATCTAAGAGGAACCTCTACAAACAAAGCTTTTAACTGGCCTTCCTCTGTGCTACCCCATCAACTAACTACCCCTACTCTTGGTCTGTGTTACCCTATAAACTACCCTACCCCAAATACTTTACCTTATCTTCCTCCCCAACTGGCTCTTCTTTGCTATTCTTACCTTACTATTTACTGATACAGTATTATTTAGGGAATAAGACTATTGAAAAGCTTTCTAAACCATGAAGTGTTCCAGGTATTTCTATAACCCCAGCCTGTGATTGTCCTCTACAATTGTTCCTGCCGTGATTGTTATTGTGCCTCTGCCATGTATATAAACACATAAATATATTTTTCAAAGTTCAACATTATGCATATTTTAAACATGTTTTCTCATGTATTTGTGAACATAGTAAATCTTTCATATTTACGGAATAAACCATAGTTTGTGGTTATTGACTGGTAGGTATATTATTTCCCTTAAATCCTCTACATGGGAAGACCTTGGCTCTCCAATGGTGGCATGCTGCTGTGCTTCTTCAGGTTCACAAGTTACACCCTTACTGTCCAAAGTGTTCAAACCAATGTACTCTGCAGTTAATATGTGTGTGTGGGACCCAACAGTGAGAAGAAAGAATCCCTCAAGCTACCCTTTGACCTCCACACACTCACCATAGCACATTTGTGCTTATGTAATACACAAATGCATACAAGCCAAAAAATAGAGTGAAAAAACAATAAATCATTATTTCCCATGGAAATCATTACTAAATGACTCAAAGTTCAAATATTGCTCTAAAGGTTAGGGTTAATTAGATTGTATTTGTTCCTTGATAAATCAGAAATGATTTATCTGTTTACCTTTTTCCAAGACAACAAAGAAATATCTAAAGGCTTCATGTGAACAAATAAATATTGGCTGCTGAGATATTTCATATTCTTATTTCAAATAACATTAGCTTAATAATTTATACCTTGTTTAAAGGTGACTTAATAGGCAGATGTTTTCATGTGAAGGCAAACAAATCCATATCTCATGTTACACATGAGCTCACAACTAGAGTGCCATAAAAATAAAAATTAGTGGGTCTAAGACTGTGAATGCCAATATTAGTTCATAGAGAGAAAGACATATTAACTAGAGTGATAAGTGATTGCACCACCTTATGTAACAGAATTTCACCAGTTTCTAACCAATTATAAATAACTTATTTTTCATCAAATAAACTTCAGAAGTTTAATTTTTTATTGTGTTTCGTTGTTGCTTCCACTGTGATTTATGTTGTTGTTGCTTTTATATTTTACTTCTTGCCACTGAAATTGGTGATAGTCAGTTGTATATTATATATTCTTCTCTGGTCTAAATCATTGAGGTGGTCTAGATAGCTTTACTATAAAGTATGTGGAAACTTCTAGAATACTAACTACATTTAAAAAATGAAATTAAATTTCCTGTCGAATCACTTGAGAGACAGAAGAATAAGGACCACTGTAAGTTTAAGGCCAGTCTGGTATGCACAGGAAGCACCAAGCCAGACAGGACTTCATTTCAAGACTCTGAAAAAAACAAGAAGTAAAATGGATAGTTGTCTGATACTTGTCCAGTAGCAACCAAGATGCTGCTTTTGATCTCAATAAGACTCTCTGAAGATAGCAAAATGATTTCCTAGAGACTTATTAATTTCACATTGGATAAAATATATTTCATATCCTTTCATTTTCACATGTTTCAAAGGAAGAGCCACAAATGATTAAAGGGCTCTTTGAAACGATCAGCACTTGATCACATGGTATTCAGAAGTCAGTGACTCAGCTAAAGTTACATTTATGAAGAGCAAATTATTAAAATCTAAAGTACCCACATTATAAATAAAGCAATGCACTGAGTTGGGGTATTATTCTTTTAAACATGGAATTATATTTCTTTTCATGAAAAACATACCCAAAATTGCTACAAATTTGATAAAATGAAATTGTACAGTCGATAGGAGAAAATAAAATCAACACTGTAGATAGTTCTTCTGAGTTCATAAAGCTCATATAATAACTGGAAACATGAAGAAGTCTATACACTATTGAACATATTTTGCCCAAATTCTTCTCTCTCTCTCTCTCTCTCTCTCTCTCTCTCTCTCTCTCTCTCTCTCTCTCTCTCTCTCTACACACACACACACACACACACACACACCATCACCACCACCACCATCATCATTATTCATTGGACTTCTGATTACTGTGGCAAAGTAATCAGAATAAGCCTTACTTTGTCATAGAATGCAATTCATATGCAAAAGAATTCTCCTTACCTGCCTCCTCTTGCCCCTCAACATCTGCAGCAGGTGGGGGACCTGACCCAAACCCTCACCAGCTGGAGCACTCAAAACAGGCCCTGCTGTCACCTGGGAAACACACTTGAGCTGACCCTGTAGACAGGGAAATGAATGGGATGGAGACGCACGACGTGAAAGACACAAAGAATAAATAAAAAGAGCATTAAGAAAAGAATCCTACTTCCTGTGCTTACTCATTTCAGTTAGGGTCTTTTTCCACCTGTGTCTATGAGGAGTATAGAGCATGGTTTATTTTTTTTTTTCTGTCGTCTTTGCCCTCTTTGGATCAGAACAGCAATACCTTCCCCATCATAAAATGGATGGGAAACACCCCCTCCTTCTACTGTAGACTTGGTGTTATGAAAGGTTAGGAAAATTCTCTAACAAAATTCTCTGGGCCTAGAGATTTCTTCTTGAGAAATTTTAAAGTTACAAATTTTGATTTATTTAGTAGTCATCCCGAGGACTTGAAATTATTTATTTCCCATGGAGCGAGCTGCGGTTAGTTTGCGGCTGTAAAGGAATTGAAGCATTTCATCTAAGCTGTCAGATGTATGCTTATAGAGTCATTTGGAATACTTCCTTCCTGTCATTTCTGAATGGTCTCCAGTGGCACTTTCAGTTTCATTCCTGCTGGGTAACTTGGGTCGTCTCTTCTTCTCTGATGGCTTTCCTAGAGGGCTGTGGTTCTTATTGATCATTTCAAAGACAGAGCTTTCTGGTTCATTGATTTTCTTCGTTGCCTTTCCATTTCTGCTTTTACAAACTGCTTCATTTATCGTCATTACTCCCATTCTTCTTTTTACTATTTCCCTTGACTTTTAAATGGGGAATAATTTAGATTATTAGTTTGAGACATTTCCTGTTCTCTTGTGGTATAAATTTGCTCTATCCTGTCTTAGCTGCATTCCACAAATCTTGCTACACACAGTTTTCTTTCCCATTCAGTTTGACACATTTTTTCAGCTGTCTTTAACATACACTCCTTGAGGCCGGGCATTGGTGGTGCACGTCTTTAATCCCAGCACTCGGGAGGCAGAGGCAGGCGGATCTCTGTGAGTTCGAGGCCAGCTTGGTCTACTAAGCGAGTTCCAGGACAGCCTCCAAGACAATACAGAGAAACCCTGTCTCAAAAAACAAAAAACAAAAAGATACACTCCTTGATTGTTTACATGTGTGTTGCTTAAAGTGTGATATTTAGTTTCCAAGTATTAGGGTATTTTCTATCCAAACTTCTCTCTTCTTAGATACTAGTTACATGACATTCATATCACATTTAGGGTTCACATCAATCTAGTATAATTTTGGCCTTGCC